CTGTAGAATGCTTTGAAACAGGTGAAACTTGTAATGGTTAAATGCAGATCTGGGGCAGCTCAAGCTATTCCTGTTGAGATATTCTGCTGCGACGAATGCTGCAAGCAACCTTGTTTAATCTCTGATATCTAATTTGTGTAGGCGTCGACCAGAGGATTATGATATTCATAACAGCAGAAAGAAACCAAGGATTGACTATCCCCCTGAATTTCACCAAAGACCAGGTTAATATCTTACTCTGAAGATTTGTGTGCACCAATTCACAAGGGTTTTCTTTTTATTCAGTACATGCTGGTGAATGTGAAAAGTAAAATTTGAGAGAGGTTGTGTAAATTGTACAGCCATTCACTACTGTGGATCCTCTCGAGCGCTTTGTTGATCTAGGTAGTTGAAGTGCCTGCGGTTGCTCACATTGGCTTGGCCTACTGTTAATGCACTGGTCTTCAAATAGGATTTTTTTTCAGAAATTTTCAGCTGGGAAATTCAGCTGAGATTGCCTATGTAGCAAGCCGTATTTGGAGATGATGGTAGATACTTGGTTGTGTCTTCAAAGTAGCTTTTAAGCACTTGACATATAGTGGGGGAGGAGGGAGTTCTCATTGTACTTTACAGGGAAGGTCTAATGATGAGTTTAGAAGAGAAGTTCTGTGATTTTCAGAAATAAAATCATTGCAAGAATAGTGCAACAGCCACACTGGTAATATTGCAAGGTTTGGGGTTTTTTTTGTTTTTCTTTTTCCCAAAGCAAGAGATAAGAAATGATTGGTAGTAATCCACAGAATCTTACTTATTTCCATAGTGGATTTCTAAATCTTTCTCAAGATTCCACCATACCTGTGTCCTGCTTGACAGTAAAGCCTGTGTTCTCTTGACACAAAAAGGATTTTGGTGCTGCTGCGCGGCTTTCCAAGAGCACTGTTGAGAGTACAGGACACAGTATTAAAAATAACAAGTCAAGAGCATTCCTTTTTAGCACCAGAGGTGTGCTTAGTGTTTTTCATCATTTTGCTGAACTGTTAGAGGTTGATTTCCAACCATTTCCTATGTTTGAAATAATTCATTGCCCTGTGGGACCTTTGCAGATGTGTGTTTTTTGAACTATGGTTTGCTGTATTCCTGTACTGTGTATAACAAAGAAGGAAATGGAGAAGTTTTGAAAGTTCTTTTGAAAATGAAGCTAATGTCAGGTAGATAAAACCTGGTGTATGACACACAATGTAATACAGATTCTAATGAGTATTTTTACAAAGACTGTTTTCATGAGATGGAAAAGTTGATGTTAATACTGCTTGATGTTTGAACAGGGTATATAAAGGATCCCAGGTATCCCGAAGTAGACAGGTAAGGTGTGTTCATGCTATTTATTTTATGCCCTGGTAGCTTGCTGTATGGATAACCTGGATTTAGTTCTGCAAATTTTTTTATTCCCAACAGACGATTTTCAGGAGTTCGCCGAGATGTATTTTTAAACGGGGTAAGTTAGTGCATGCTGCCCTTGGGGACCTTTTCATATTCAACTTTCAGCACTCCTAAAGGACACTCCTCACGTACATTAATATTACTGTCTTTCATTGCAGTCCTATAATGATTACGTGAGGGAATTCCACAACATGGGACCACCACCACCATGGCAAGGAATGGTTTGTGTCTTGTTAAACTCCATTTTTTTTGCCCTAAGACCAACTTTTTCATTCCCCTCTAAAAGTGCGTATTATGTGCGATCTGCGCTCAGCTCTTGCCTTTTGCTAAAATGTGTCTTTGCTGCAATGTATGTGAAATATGTAGAGGGGGGGAAAGACAACTTGTATCTTATTTAGGGGGGTTGTTGGGAGGGTTTATTTCTTCAGGCTTTTTACTTTGCTCTCAGCTGTCGCCCAGTTATTTTCGCATGCCATATGGCAGCTTGGTTCAAACCTGCAAGAAACTGAAAGCTGTGAGGAAAGAGCAGAATCCTCCTGTAGTCCCTGCCGAAGGGTGTGATGCAGTTTGGTGCTCAGCTACATGTTGGCAGTACTTGCCTTTCTTTCAGACAGCAAATGCATCGCAGGGATGGATTTGCTGCAGGTGATCCGGGGATGGGCTGGCATGTTGCAGGTGGCGTGCAGGGGCTTGCTTTTGGCTGTGGCACCGAGACATGAAGGCGAGTAGCAGAATGGACTGAACAGTGCGAGTCAGATAAGTCTCACGTGGCAGCTCTCCCTCAAATGTGTTATTTTTCTGCAGCTAGATCAAAATGAAGCTTATGTACAAGTGCATGTTATTTATGTAAAAGTTAATTGATAGTGCAGTTATAGTCAGCTGTGGTTTGGCTGCCCAGCGGGTGCTCTAACTGGCAGCGTTAGTTATAGGGTTCCCCGTATTCACAGCTGCAAGGGTCATGAGTGTGGATAATTAATGAGTTTCCTTAGCAGTCGTGGATTGCCATGGATGACAGTGTCTCTCTTCAAGTTCTTGTGTACACTGAATGAGCAAAAGGCATTGCCAGAGGTGGAAATGCTGCTGTAGCCTCTTCTCAGCTACAACAAAACTAATGTTTTTCATAAATCAAGAAGACGAAAAAGGCAGTGAGACTGGGAGGAAGACGTAGCCATTTGTCAAATTATTTGCCTTGCAGAATTTTGTTCTTTTAAAATGGGAGCATTTCCATAGGGAGTGGCATTGAAAAGGCTCATTCTGGTGAAACCCTGCAGGTCTGAACAAAATATCTCATTCTTTTTTGCATAGGTCTTAGAATGGCTGGGGAAAGCAAAATTAATTAACAGTCTTGTTTACAGGATCACTTTGAGGTAGATAGGGAAGGAAGATGTCCTTTGGGCGTTTTTGGTCAAACTTCTGAACAAGTATTGATAGAGAAGTAGTAAAGTGAGCAGACTTCATAAGGATATTCTGCATTACATTTGTTAAGTTATGTTTAGATGCCATGTTTTCCATTTGAATGAAAGAGAGCTCTTTTACCTCTTAATTCCCAGCGCTAAGCTTTGTGTATGTTCTCTTTCTTTGGAGTATTCAACGAACTTCCATGTAACTTTCTTGTAGCCACCGTATCCGGGTATGGAGCAGCCGCCACACCACCCTTACTATCAGCACCATGCACCTCCACCTCAAGCTCACCCACCGTACTCAGGACATCATCCGGTACCACACGAAGCAAGATACAGAGACAAACGAGTAGTAAGTGTCCACTAAGGCGGAGGGGGCAGAGGGGTCTGCAGGCCAGAGCAGGAGTGGGAGGAAACTTGGGTACATCCGTAGCATAATCCAAGATTTGCTGGTTTTGAAAGTATAAGTCTTAGTAGTGCAGTTTGCTTTTGGGTTTTGCAGTTTAGCAGATTAATCTCGTAAATTAACTAGAGACTTCCAGCATCATCTTTGAAAAGCCTCTCTCTTACAGGTGAGGTGGAAATGCAGAGTTCCCAGGACATCCTCTTAAATTAAGAAGTTTAGTTTTATTTTTTGGGTCAAAATGTTTCCAGTCATCAGACTGGGAACTTTCCTGATGAAGACCAGCTGGAATAAGGGTGTGCCTGTAATGTCACTTGCACTTGGGCACAGCAAGTTACTTCTATCAGCAGAAAAGTTTGAGTTTTATGGCTTACACAGGCACATCCAAAGCGGGGCTGGTCCTTAAACAAAGAGCTTTTGTTAGAGGGCCTCGAAGGCTGCTTAGCTTCAAGGTCTCTTGCTGGTACCTGGGGTTTGAACCACAGCCTCTCCATTTTCTGCTTCGTACACTGAAAGCACAGATATATGGTGGTGCCCTAAAGATGAAAGAAGAAATATGTGCTGCAGCTGTCAGCTAATGTGAACTTGAGACGTATTTTATATATCCAGATAAGGGTGGGGACAGGATTTTAACCTGGGAGAGAAAATAACCTGAGCCGTGCTCTCATCGCAGCATGACTACGACATGAGGGTAGATGATTTTCTTCGACGCACGCAAGCGGTCGTCAGCGGGCGGAGAAGCAGACCCCGGGAGAGGGACCGGGAGCGGGAGCGGGACCGGCCTCGGGATAACAGAAGAGACAGAGAACGTGACAGAGGCCGTGACCGGGAGAGAGAGAGGGAGAGGATTTGTGACCGGGATAGAGACAGAGGTGAACGAGGTAGATACCGAAGATAATCCAGCTGCAACCAGCGGTCACTTGAAACAAACAAACAAACAAAAAAAAAGCTTGTATTTTTTTGTGTGTTTACAAGTAGTACATTTTATTTTCAGCTGTCTCCTTAAAAGTTCGTTGTGTAGAAGGATTTATATTGACCCTCTTTATTCCAAGCATGCAGTGAACTAACGAACTGGAAAAAAACCTCAAATCGGCCAAAAAATAGAATACACAAAGCTGACACTCGAGTTGACGTTTTTATTGGAGCAGAATGGGAAACAGTTCAGAATGTAGATATTGATTAATTCTCAGTAAGTGTTCATTTACTTAGTGACTTCATTCTAGGTTTTTGAATACTGATGGATAATTGCCTTTTTTCTTTTTTTCCTTTTTTTTTTTTTTGCTTTGATGTTTTCTTACCATAGTTTCACGTGGTTCAGTGGGAAAATGCTGCTATCAAGTATGCAAATATTGAAGTATGATTTTTTGACTGTATGGCGACAGTGTTGTAGCAGCCTCTTTTTTCCTTTTTTTTTCCTCCCCCCTTCCTGTTTTTTACCCTTATCTGTAAAGTCAAATGTTTTTTTTTTTTTTTTTCAGTCTTCAATAATGAAAGCAATATTAAGAAGACACTATCGATACCTAATTTTTAACCTTTTTTAAAAACCTTCCTGCATTCAGTAACATTTTGGTCAATTCTCTTGTCTAGCCTCCTTCCAAAATGTACACATTGCTTGGAATGTTCACAACCTGCGTGTGTGGAACCAGAAAATATTGCTGTATTCTACATTGCTACCATTTTTTATAAAAATAAATTGGTAACTATTGAAACAATTGAATTTCCAGCTCGGGTTTCTTGATCCTTGCTAGCTTGAATAGGTTCTGGCAGTTGTAGAAAAGCATTTGTATTCAGAAATGATGATGTTGATCCAGAAGCTTGAATTTTGTGAAAACTGCTGAACTGTAAATGCTTTTCTGTTTCTACAGTATAGTCATCAATCTGCAGGATCTATAAAGCCGTATCCCTTCAGTTTAATCAAAAGATCCTAAAGGTGGAAAGGTACTGTCCTCAGCAGTAATCTTATCTATCTCCCAGGAACAGCTTCTCCTGCAAGGTCTGTTCACACCCTGCAAGGTTCAGACGGTCTCCCACATTTTTTTGTTAGTCTTTTCTGCAGCACTTGCAAATGCTCTTAATTAGGATATATTTGAATGTAAAGGGCAGTGGCCGAACTGGAAGGGAAAACTGGAAGTTGAGTTTCTCCAGCAAGTTCCTAGATCCCAAAACTTGTCTGTGTAGCACTGCCAAGCAGGATTGCTTCATATTTTTTTAATAAGGATCTTCTTTACTATAACACGTGATTTAAAGACTTCCAACTCCACCACACTCTTTTTGAATGCTCTAGTTCTGTGTTTGTAAATGGCAATGCTGGATTGCCCAGATAATTCTGGTGCTGTGAACTGAGAGTAGTTTGAGTTTTATGTTTTTTAGTGTATATAGCTATAGACATCAGCATTTTATGCAGAATATTCGACCTCCAGGTGAAAATGGTTTCTTACACAAGATTTGCCCCCCAGTAGTAGGATGAGATCAGTCTATCAAATTCAGTATGCTTACTGGACCTAGTTGAACTCAAACATTACAGACATAGACTAAATTGAGATGTTTTCCCTCTTTATTTAGAGGTTGTGGAAAGAAAAAGTCAGATGGGGGTCATTAGGGGTGGATGATACAGAGAAAAGAAGGAGTTAAAGCTAGGAGATGAGTCCCAATTTCAGGGATCCCAACTGCACACCCAGGAAGGTTGTATTTCTTAAGCCTACCACAATTCATTTGAAAATTCAAAGCAGCACTTACCATTCTGGGAAGCCTGTATAACCTGCAGTTCCAAGTGATCAAGCACCTCTAATTAAACCTTACTTGGGCCTGGGGGAATTTATTGTAATCTACAAACTGGCTAGGGTAGCAGCTCTTCAGCGGAACGGCTTCCTAGCCCATCCCTTCCCAAAGGTGATACTTTGGTATGTCCAGCATAGAAGGTATCCTAATAAAGCAATTCAGTGAGGAGTGTGCATAAATGCTTTGCTGGATCGACCTGTGACAATGCTGAGGGGAAGAACACATTTATTCTTTCTTCTTCTTTGTTACTCTGCCACGCTTCCTGCAGCAGAAGAGGCAGCATTTGACAAGAACGAAGACGGTGATGGCCACGCAGATGAACAAGAAGGCCAGAACATCCAGGCAGTGGTACTGGTACCAGGTGAGATGGTGAGAAGCTGGTCTCAAGTGCTTTGCTCCTTTGTGGCGCATGACAAATTCAATCCAGAAGACTGCTCTGTCCAGAGGCTTCATAGGCTGGTCGTGATGAATCCTGGATAACCTCAGAGCATTTTCCTTATAGCTGAGGAAAAGAGAAGAAAACAAGGGAGATCTGTCATAGCTCCTGAAGGTGCCCATCCTCAGCCCACTGTCCTGTTGAGGAAGTGTTTAAAGCCAGAACCTCTGGCCTTTACTTTGATCAATGTTACTACATATAGTTGAAACTAGCCCAATTTGCTCCTGTTTGCCTGAAGTTGAATTATGGGTTGTAATAGAAAAAGCAAGTCTTTTTCCAAGGAAAATTACTTCAGTTATTGCTTCAATCAACAACACAAGGACGGTTAGTGTTGTTACCCAGAGCCTTCAAAACTATAATAGCCATGAACATTAAAAGGAGAAAACGGAAAACTATTTCAGGAGCTGCTCTGGGTTTTCCCAGATCTATTTTCTTCAAAGAAAATGTATCAAGAAAGTAGAATTACTCGTCTCTCTCCCACAAGATGCTGATTTGCAGAAAATAGGGAGGTGCCTAATAGATGATCTGCTTTATTTGAAAGCCATCAAATTCCAGCTCTTAAGTACCTTAGGTTCCTGGAAAAGCCAGCAGAACTCCTCACATCAACAACCCAATATATTAAAACCCAATCCTACCCTTAGGCAGTAGCAAAACTCACGTGGAATTGTTAATGACGGTATTCAGTGCATCAACTAGTTCCTGTGTCTTCAGCGTGCCAAAATCCAACTCAACGGCGGCTCCCTTTGCCCTCATGTGAGCAATGTTGTCGTGCTGGTCAGCAAACATGGGCATGCCGACCAAGGGGATCCCATGGTAGATAGCTTCGTAGATGCCGTTGGTGCCACCGTGAGTAATGAAGGCCTTAGCCAAAGGATGGCCTGGAAGAGGGAAGGAGAGAAGTGTGTGGCAGCAACTGCTGCAGACCGTGTTTGCTGGAACAAGAGCAAATCACCCAGGGAGGCCCCAGGGTTGAGGAGGGAGCTGCTGGGTCCACATCAGAGCACGCACACTGCTTAGCGAGTCACCGTAAGGTCAAAAGTAGCCTTTGCCCTGGGCAATGAAGGCTGGAAGGGTAAACCTCAGCTGCTTGAGGTACAGAAATAATCATAGCAGCGAGTGTTGGGTGGCTCGCGGGTTCTCCTTTGGTTTTGCATGATTCTCGTTTGGTTTTGGTGGAAAAACAAGGAAACCGCTTTGGCAAGGACTGAACCCAACTCGGATAAAATCATTCTCACCAAGCAGATCATTTTGAGGTATCCAGTCATAAATCCTGGTGTTGGGGCCCAGAGCTTCTGGTTTTCTTCCTTTATACCGCCAGAGAACCTTAAGGAGAAGGACATTAAGATAAACATACTGATTTTTACACACTTCTCTATCTTATCCCACCAAGGGTGGGTCCTTATCTCAAGGGCATACACCTTTTCTCAGTGACTCAAATACCTTCTGCTCCAGATTAGCTTACTATGTACTAGGTTAGTTTTTATGTACTTTCTACTTAGAGTATTTTTTATTTTGTGGCCTGTGGACACACCTCAGTGTGCTTTGGTTTAAAGAGGGGCGAACACTATGGGAGGTGACTGTAAAGTTCAGCTTCCTGCACATGAAAGAGCCAGCAGAGATGCAGATGAAAATCAAGGCTGCCAGACTGTGCAGGACTTGCTGAATGCAGCGAATGGAGGTGAGAAAGGAAAGGGAGGAATAGGATATGTTGTAGACTGAGACGAAATTCACCTTTTGTGGAATCTGGCTGAGGGCACGAGCAATTGTATTACTTTTTTCAGCAGTAAGGTTATGGACCATTGATCCGAGGGAAAACACCACGATGCCATGTTCTCCCGAGCTCTGGACAAATTCTTCCATTTCCTAGGAGAGGTAGAAATTGTGTTCAGCATAAAGAGGCCCTTCAAATTGCAAAAACTTACATAAACAAAGCACCATTACTGAATTTACCAAGGAGAAGATAATGGCTTACAAGTACCTCCAGGGAGAGCAGGCTGTTACAAAAATATACAGCTTTTTCTTTTTTCTGCTGGGCATGTAAACCGGGAGCAGAACAAAGTCAGGATACCTTTGGTAATGGCTTTGCAGGCTGGCAGTGGAGTCCTCCAACAAACTCGAAGTTGGGCACGAAAGGGCGTGGGAATTCAAAATCCCAGTATGTCCTAATGAGCCACATCTCCGCTTTCCCCATCGTCTCACACAGGGTCGTGGGCCTTCCTATGGGAAAACAGGAAGGCATATACAACACGTGCAGGAGGAGTCTTGTTTGCTGCAGAGTGCAAAATAAAAGCCTTACCTTTGTCTCCTGGCACTGCCCTTTAGTGCAATCTATTGAGTCAAGCACAAATGGGGGCAAATCCAAGCCTATTCCTAGCCCTGGCTCCTGTTTTGCCTTGCCCCATCGTCTTGCAAGAGGCAATAGCATCTTTAAAACAGTATAAAACCTTTAGGATGGGTTTAGAGCAGTACCCGAGTACATAGGAAGCGTTTAGTTTCTGAAGTAATATAGTTCTTGCACTGTTGGAAGCCTTTGCTACCTGTGCTGGCAGTGAAATCTCACTTTGGGTAACAAAGTAATCGGAAGATTTAGGGCTGAATAAAATAGAAATTTAAATCCCAAAGTTGATCAGTCGAGTAGGAGGAGGAAAGTTGCAGTGAAGCCCTCCTGCGTTTTGTCAGATGGTGACTGGCTGCTCAAGTTGCAGTGCAAGGCAAGTACAGCCAGCCCCGGTTCTCCTGGAGATCAGCACAAAATTCCTGCTGACACATCTTGAAAAAAATATTGGCCCAAACCGTGGGATCCGTGAAAATGATTCTAGGCAAAATTCACCCAGGAGAAAAAAAAAAAATCCAATGGGAACAAAAAAACTGTAATTTAGCTACTTTTGGGAAAAAAAAAAACTCAGATACCCTTTGAATGTTGCCTTGGCAGGATTGTCCCAATGTGTGGAACAAGGGAATAAAAGGATTAGAAATGTTAATGATTGTCTGAAACCAGTTCAAAGCAAACGGTAATGAAGCAGCATAACAAGCAAGAGAAAAAATACCTGTAGGACATCTTTGCTTACTACCTGATCATCATTACAGATTATGCTACAAATCTCTTAAAAAAAAAAAAAAAAAAGAAAGAAAGAAAAAAAAGTAGTGATTACTCAGTTACTACAGTGAAAATTAACTTATAATGGAAGTAAAGCCTGCATAACAGTCAGAGTGACATAAAGGTGTTGGTCTGTAAACCAGGTTGTAAAGGAATCAAGTCTTGTGCAACTGAAAACTTCAATAATAGTAACAGGGATAGGCTTGGCAGGCCAGGCAAGAGTTCTAGGAAATACGGGAGAGATTGCAGGGTAACAGAACAGATTCCCTTATCTGCCTAAATGCTGATACTCCGTACAGGATACAAAGTCTGTTGAACTAAAAGAAGGCCTCGTTTTAATAAACCCAGAGACAGGCTTGGGCTGCACTAGGTTACAACAAACTTCCCATGCATATCCTGAAAGAAAACTGTATTTCAAAGTGTGAATGATATGGGGAGGAGAAAGCTGATGGTTCTTAGCATTTATTCATGGAAAAGAGAAAAAAAAAATCATGCTTAGCATCCTGTACCAAACAAGGACTGAAGATGGCACCTGCTAATGCAAACCGTGAATGAAGGGGGCATTTTTTTGCTTTTCTGCTGTCCCAAACCAGACAGTGTTCCCAAGCCAGTTCTCCTGGCAACATGAGAACTGAGTTACCCCTCCACTACTTCCCATGCCTTGCACAGAATTATCCAAGGAACATATTTGCCCTCCAATCTGTATCTACTGCCTCCCCAATTATACTTGGGCCTGTCCTGAAAACTAGGAGATGATAACTAGTCTCTAAAACTCCTCTAGAGGCACTAAAATGGGCATCCAGCTCCCTGGAAGAGCACACCAACAGTCGCGTCACTGACAGAGATTTGAGCTATAAACTAGGGACTGATAAAAGGCTGATAAAGTGAATTTTTAGATTTGGCATAGAAATACGGACTTTTTAAGCAGAACTCTTCTTAAAATGTTGTTTAAAAGAAAAATCAGGTACCTGTTTGGCAACAAAAGAATGCATCCAGAACTTAAGCTTGACTTTTGCTAAGCCTTCAAAGACAGAACGAGAACTGGTCGGGTTTCCGAAACGTTCGAAAGGCAAAACCTGTGCAAAAGAAGCAACCGCACGCTACAGCCACCTTACCTAAAATATCACTGTAGTACTGATCCCAATTTTCTCGCCAAAATTTTAAGTGATAATAGTCCATGTAAAGGTAGAAGAGGAAATTCTGCAGTCTCTCTATGAAGTGCATTCTGTCTGTCATCCTTCCCATGCTGGCAGGCACGTAGGAAGGTGGGGATGGCAGCCCACCACAGAGCCGCTCTGCCGCGTTCCCCATAAAGAAGCGGAGGCTGTAAACAAAAGGGATTCCCAGGATTTCTGCTACGAGCTCGCCACAGGCAGCCATAGGGTCGGCTATCAGAACATCAAACTTGGCCTCGTGCAGCTTCGCCATCAGCTGTGGGTTTAGGAACAAGGTGTCACAGATCATCCTGGAGGTGTTTGCAAAGGCCTCCAGGTCCTTTTCCATCTTCCACAAGTGCTCCAAGAAGGACAGGTCAGCTAAGTCGTTCATCCAGGTACCAAGAAAATCCTCCATGAGGGCATCGAAGGATTCCTGGGTAAAAGGCACATGCAGGACCTCAAAAGTGAAGGGGGAGGAAGTGTCTTGGTAGTCAATGAGCAGATTGACAGAAGATACCAGCACAGTCACCTCGTGACCTCGGTGAACGAGCTCTTCCAGCAACACTTTCACATTGATCCAGTGACTTGCATCGGTTGGCCAGACCACCACCTTCCCACAAAAGCCAGGACTCCAGCAGCATGAGCAGGCCCAGAGCAGCCAGAGAAACCGTTGCCCCATCATCCTGCCTGACAATCCAACTCTAGTCTGGCTGATCTGGAAGCGGTTGAACTCTTCTGACTTGTAAATACCTCTAGGGCCAACCAATAAAAATGAGAGTCACTTGCTGTCAACCTTGGTGAGAGGGCATGTCGGGACTAAAAGCCTGACACCGCTCAAAAGAAGGCTGGGCAAGCAGTAAATCCCGTTCTGGAGTCTCCAGAGCCATGGGAACCTTCGGGAATCAAAAGAGTTTCCATTTGAGCTCTCCACAAAGTGTGCCTTCCATCATGTGACAATGTGGGGCACCTCCGAGCTCTGCAAACTGCTGTTTGCCCTGGCAATGTGTCTTCAAGGGGAAGCTATGTGTTCCCAGGCCAAGCAGGAACCAAAGCTGCAGAAGGCACCTGAGGAGGCCATGGGCCCTTTTGAGCAGGTATGTGATTAACCCAGTCCTTGGGTTATCACTTAACTGCATCCTAGGCTTGTTCCTTTGCCCTGTAAAAACCAATTTGCCTGTAAAGCCAGCAATAATCTTTACCTCCTCATTCACTGAGCAGCAGTAAAATGTCCGGCTGTGATTGACACCTAGCCCACAATGTACTCTGGTCGATGGATGTCATGAACACTCAACACTGCCTGTGGCTGGAAGGATGCAGTCCTGGTAGAGGTCATACCTGCACTCCTGGGAACATCAGCCCTGTTCAAGAAGCAAGCCTCCGGGAGCTCAACAGCTCAGCTTTCTCCCCGAGACTTCCAAAGCAAGAGGAAAAGGCCATTTAGAAAGCATTTGCTTTCCCAGTGCAACAGGGGAAGCAAAGCACCTGTCCCAACGCACACGGGGCTTTCCTGTTGCAATTACCCTCTGAGCTCCCTGGCACAACGATGGGGAGTTTAATGCCATGATAAAGACTGATAACACAGTCCCTTGTTCCCCTCTCCGCCTCCGGAGCACCAGTGGAGGGGCTCAGTCTCGGAGCAGCACCAGCATATCCAACACGGGCTACCATTTTCCACGCAGCGCATGGTCCCCGCAGCCCTGCAGCCAGCACTGCGCAGAATCAACCCGTTGTGTTCCTGCCAGCACCGTGCTTCCCCGGCTCTGCCAAGCCCAATAAGCAGCCCACGCAAATACAGAGTTCGGCGCTCCTGTAACAAGGCTTCCCGCTAAGTCACACCCCACCACAGAGCAGTAAAATCCCCTAGGGCTTCCCATTGAAGCGCTATTACCTTTCCCCCCACAGAAGCAAACCTTCAAAGAGAGTGTTGCCCTTACTGCCTCCTCACAGTTGTGGCAATTCCCTAAAAGAAATCATAGTAGATCCATAATTGTCACTATAATTGCTCTTAATCAAAAAAAAAAATATATATATATATATAATCCTAATGAACTAAACATCTGCTATTGCTATAAAATGCTTTAAAAAAAAGGCTGAGCCACAACCACTGGAAGTCTTTTATCTCTCAGTTTAAAAGAGCGAAGGCTTTGGGTATGGTGAAATTGTGGTGCTAATTTATTGCTTGTGGTGTCAGCCAAGCCTGGAGTATATACATATATATATACACAACTACTGTGTTATTTTCTTTTAAGTGGCATTGACACTGTTTACCCAGCCTGAAAGGGCCCTCAGGGCATTTGCTGTGTCAGTGTAGCTGGAAACAGGGCAGGTTTGTAACTATTTGGCTTGCTCAGCATGACAAAGGGATTTTGGGAGGGCAAAAGGAGTTCAGGATCGCCTCGCTCCCGACTCGGACTTTAACCGCCAGGCTCTGAGTACCTGGTTTTGGGCTCAGGGCTGATGCAATCTTTGAAAGCAGGAGTGGCCTTACCTAAAACATCACTGTAAAATTGATCCCATTCTCCCCCGAAAATTCTGTGGTACATGGTATCTGCAAGAGCGTAGAAGATGATGTTCTGGAGCTTCTCGGTGAAGGACATCCTGTCGGTGAGGCGGCTGAGGATGGCTGGCACGTAGGAAGGTGGCGCCGGAAGCCCCCCGCAGAGCCGCTCCACCGTGTTGCCGATGGAGAAGCGGAAGGTGTACATGAAGGGGACGCCCAGCTTCTCCGCAAACAGCTCCCCGCCCGGCAGCAGCGGGTCGGTCAGAAGGACGTCGAAGGCGGATTTCCTCAGCCTCTCCAGCAGTGCTTCGTTCTTCAGGACTGCCTCGCAGATCACTCTGTTCGTGGAGCTCATGTTGATTACCATCTGATTCATCTGATAAAGCACTTCCCAAATGGGCTTCTGGCTCTGCTTGTAAATCGAAAAGTAGAAAACTTCATCCAGCAAGTCAGCCATCTCCTTTTTGGTGATTGGCACTTCAACCACCTCGATCGTGAAAGGTGAGGGCTGGCTGGGATCAAAGATGAGGAAGCATGAAGGTATCAGCACTGTCACCTCGTGGCCCCGGGCCACGAGCTGCTGGAGGATATAGTCCATGTTGAGCCAGTGGCTGTTGTCGGCGGGCCACACCAGCACTTTCCCACCATTCCCGCAGCCCAACAGTGCCAGCAGCCACAGCACCACCACCTCCTTCCCAGCCATGGCGTGACTTTGTGCAGTTACATGCGCGTAGCCCTCTTTTGACACAAGCAGCAAGGGAGGCCAGCCCAGGCTGGTCCCGCGTGACTCCGCCTCGCATACGTGGGCAAGGACCCAAGGTAGCTATTGCAAAATCCTGGATAATGTTTGCCCTGGAGAGGTGCTTTCCCCGGGAAGCGGTGCTTTCTCTCAGGCCGCAGGGAGAGCTGTGGGCCCCACATGCACATCTGCCCTGTCTCCTGCTGTCTCCTCTTGCCCACCTCGGGGCTCATGCCCACCCCCAGGCATGGAGCAATATTTTAACTGCAGCCTCTCTGCATTTTTTTTTTCTAAGAAGAGGGGAAACTTTCATCCATTTTGCTGTTCAGACAGCATCTGGGCACCCAGCAACAGTGTTTACCTGCGCCATGGGCACCCCATGGCTTTATATTGCTGGTGTGTTTGTAACACACTGATGTGGCAAATCCAGGTTGCAGCTAGAAAACTTGGCCCTCCACGTGGGTGAATCTAGGTGTGAACATGAGGAACTCAGTGCCTGAACAAGGTTGTCTCCACATGAACCTGCCTTTTGCAGAGCCAGAGCCTGTATGTGATAGTGCAAGCTGTCCTTGATGCCACTAGGTGCCAATGATGCACCGCGAGTAGGACCGGAGATTCTGCTGAATGTCTATATTCTTACACATTTCTGCTCTGCAACTAAGAGATAATGTAAGCCCTTCTCACTGTGCCAAAAAAATCATCGCAGGGCTGCCAGCCAAGAATCTCTTGTTCCTTGTCGGCTAAAGCAGGGTCCTGCAGGGCCTTTGCTGCTGCTTCGGGAGCAGCCAGAGACTCCTTTCCTGATCCCTCCCAGATGAAAACGCAGGCGTTGGTACAGGCCTGGCGGTCAGGAGCCAAACTGAGCCCCTCTCTCCGCTGCGGGTAGCAGTCTGGTGCGTTTGTCAAGTCCTGTGACATGCGAACGTATGAGAGGGAACTGAGCCCTGTGAGACATGGAAGGGCTCTGTTTCACAGGGCCGGTGCACGCTCAGTTCAAACAGCTCTTTGGCCATGCCAGTAATCCCTAGGTAAATTTATATTTCTGCCTATTTGCTGAAAACAGAGCAGAGGCCTGAGCATGAAGAACTTGTTTTGTGCAGGGAGGACTGGTTTTAAATGACTAGTGATGTAAGTGTGGTCTCTATTACAAAGCTACAACGGATTTCGGTATTGCTGCCGAGAGTGTCAAGGTTGGTTTCTAATTCACTTGCCCTCCTCATTACACTGATCTGGGCTAGGAAAAGGCTCAAATTCTGCTACTTTCTCTGCAAGCGGTTCCTAGAGAGGGAAACCCTTTTTGATTTTACATGGGCTGCCTGGCTGTATCTCTAGTCTCTGTTCCACCAAGGGAAATCATGAAAACCACTTACTTGTTGGCCAGCTGTTCACAGACCTCTCAGGTATCATCTGAGTCCTGTCTCATTTTTGAGCCCTTGGCTTTGCCACCTTGCCCTTCTTCTGGCTCCTAGAGCTGTGAGTCATGTTGTGGGAGGCTGTTTAATGAGCAACTGAAATAGCAGAAGGCTTACCTAGGACCTTGCTGTAGTAGGTATCCCATTCTCCCCAGTAGCTCTGGAAAACATAGTCTTGCAAGTGATAAGACACTATATTTTTTATTCTTTCACCAAAGGACATGCGGTCTGTGAGCTCGGAGAGGGCTGCGGGCGTGTAGGATGGCGGGGCTGGGATCTTGCCACAGTGCCGCTCCACTGTCGAGGCAGGGGTGAAGCGCAGCGAGTACACGAAGGGCACTGCCAGTTTGAGAGCCACGAGGTCGCCACAGAGAGTCACCGGGTCCGACAGCAGCAGGTCGTAGCTGGCCGCCTGAAGCCGGCCCATCAGCTCTTGGTTGGTGAGCACCGCATCACACATTTGCCTGTTTATCCGGTTCCAGTTTACGGAGAGTTTTCCCAGCTCCTTGTAAAACTGCCAGAAAGTCAAAGCGGTTGGTCTGTGGTTCAGCCACAGGGCTACTATATCCTCAATCAGGTTCTTGACTGTGTCTTTCTTGAAGGGCACAGTATAGACTTCAAACTTCTCTGCAGCCTCAGCCCTGGGTTTAATGAAGAGTGAAGCGTTTGAGACCAGGATAGTGACGCCATGGCCGCGATGGAGTAGCTCCTGTATAACTATCTTGATGTTTAGCCAGTGGCTGGCTTCTGTTGGCCAGACCAACACGTTCCCACTGAAGGCCAGCCCTACAAAAGCCATCAGAAAAGACAGCAGCTGCAGGTGTTTCTTTGAGCCATGGGTTTTTGTGGCCATGGTAGTATAATGGGGTAGATAGCCTGGGTGCTTTCTCTTCCAGCCAGGAACACCCAATCTTCACGTCACACGTGATGGAGCTTTACTAGCACCCCCAGCAAAGGCAGGTCTTCGCCACCACCCAACTGAGACTTTTTAAAGCCACGACAGAGTAATGGACCTGGAACACCTTTGGTCTCTGTACTGAAAAGACAGAAGAGGACACTTGATGGAGGGCTTTGGTGCAACCCTGTGGGACCCTGTGACAGGACTTGCAGTGGCAAATGATACTAGAGATATCATTAAGTCTCCCCCATCCTTCGTTTGCTGTGTGGACCTGCCAGCACATACTGTTGGTAAATAATTTACTGGAGACTGTACTCTAGCCCCGGCCAAGAACTGCCCCCTCTCCAGGCTTCAACATTAGTTCAAGTTGGTGCATCTTCACCAAGGTACAAAGAGCAAGTGAGACCCAGACACATACACCACAATGCAAGCTCTGGTACCCAAATAATTCACCACCCTTGCTCTGTTGACTAGCAGTGGCCAAACAGGCCAGAGAAGCAGAGGCCACACAGTACATTTAAGTGCCTGATGTTAACATGCAGCCTTGGAAACACTACGCTTTTTCACCGTCCGCTTTGTTAGTTTTGGTGTTTTCCATGCTGATAGGGAAGCCTGTGTTATATCTTGGTGATAACAATGCTAACATACAGCAATAACAGTATGCCAGCCTCACCAGGGTGTCTCAGCCACAAATGGCATTTGATGTCTCTGCAGACAAGCTCACCTGTGCCCTGACTCCCTGATCTCTGCTGAGTGATGAAAGTCCTGGTAATATACCACATCTTCTGGGATGGCTCTCGTCTGGAGATACACTGCTTGATGTAAGTCACTACGTCCTAAAATAACCATCTCAGGACATCATAACCACCAGGAATCAAAATGAGACCACTCTACAACCCACATATAAAGCAATGCAATCAATTCAAGACATGGTGTGGGACAAATGCCATGCAGGAACAAAGGCTCTTACCTAGCGGGTTCTTGCGGGCTGTGAAAACATCATACTCTGGATGTGTTCGTTATGCCAGGGAGCTCCTGTCCATTGCCGCTTGGCTAAGGCACCTCAGCAGCTCTGAAGAGTTGTGACACCAGGCATAAGGTGCTTAAATAAGCACCTTAAAGCACCCCCTCAGGGTAAATAGGCACCCCCTCAGGGTGCTTAAATAAGTTCCACCCTGAATAGGACTATGCAATGAAGAGAAAGTAATACAATATGGGCTGATCACAATGGGGCATGTACTCAAGGGATTATTCTTTGCTTTGTTATGCTCCAGTAACTGAGTAATCAAGATTATCTTTCCTGTGTGTATTATACGATTATTACAGAGCCAGATTCTCAGGAGGAATTTGCATCCAATAGCTACCACTCAGGGATATGTTGTCTGACTGCTAAGTGGCTGCAAACATTTCTTTCATTCCTGTTAGGATCCTAGCTAGGAGAACAGGACCTTTTAAAGTAGATGTTAAAGACTTGCTCAGAAACTATCCACAGAAGCCAAGGCAATGCTTTCAAGTGCAGAGTTTTTCAAAAGTCCATCTATTGACCTTGCTGGTAAGTGCTGTATGTGTATTCTGGAAACCAAGACATAGTTTTAGCTACATGGAGATGCAGGGACCTGTAGACAGGCCTCCCTATTTTTAAAGTTCTGCCAGTAATATTCAACTTGGATCTTTCAAAACTTCGAAAATTTGAAGCAATTATATCCCCAGTATATTGACAGCAATGAGTTCCTGTATGATCTCTCCACAGACCCTTATATTTAGTTTCATATTTTTTTCTTTCAGGTCACTTGAGCTTACTTGGGAAAGTCCTACAGGAAACTTGAGGAAAGTTATTCTGGCAAATACCAAAGGGCCATATCCTATCAGTTAGAGTACATGAAGGCTTTGCTATAGGATTGCACTGATACAGCTCGTGATGTTCCCCTACAAGGGCAAACCTACCCAGGGAGATTGAGAGTTGCTGGTTCCTCTGAATTTCTTGTTTCTAATCCTTTATTATCTAATTACTCTGTAGAAAATGAGAACTCTTACTAGTAGAACTGGTACTGGAGGGTTATATTCCACTAATCTGTGGCTTAGAAGGATGATGCTCAGGTTACTCAGTGCAGAAAGGAGATGAACATTTTGAAAGGATTACAGAGCAAAATCCAATAAACACGAGCAAGGTAGGGCTAATCCCAGAAGCTGATGTTGTGGTGTGTTTCACATGTCTAGCAAAATGCTTAGTCATCTAAGGATTGCTGTGGAAGTGCATGCAATCTCCGACTTTAATGACTGCAGGTTCTTTGCGGGTATGGCTAGTTATGCAAAAGTTCAGGAATACAAGGCTAGTGTTTGCCTTGTAGTTAGCCTTGTAGTATATATGTGGTTAGCTCTCCCATTTCACTGAATGGGAACTACAGCGTGCATGGCACGTCTACACAACTTTCATAATACTTTGGTGACAACCAGTATCTCAAAAGCTCAGTGCCAGGCTGCGAAACAGAGGGGAGACCTGGAGTATATCACTTAAAAGTTGGTTCCTCCCCAAGCACAGGCAGGAGCAGTCATTTAAGGAGAAATGTTTGCAGGATACATGTACTCGTGCCCATTAAACACCTGCTTCCTCCTTATCCCAAGGGCAATAGAGATATGCCAGCACAGCTAAGTGAACTGGCAGCCCTATCTATCATAACCCCATTTACTTAGAAATTTTATGTCTTGATATCCCATACCCCTGCCCTCCGACCCTAGGACATCATAGACACTACACGTTCCATTTATAATACTTCACTTGCTTTTATTGATTCACTTTAAGATTTTTTTATGGATTCTTCTTATTGTCATTCTGATGCCGCAGGGACACCTTGGCACAAGCACCGCGGTGGCTCTCACAGGGGCTTTTACCACTCTGCAAAGGAAACATCAAATCAAATCAAACTGAGGAAGGCTCCAGGGCAAGGCGGCTGTCCCTTCCCAGGGCCAGGCCTTTCACCAGACCACCTGAACTCAACCACCACTTATTTTACCCGGTTAGGTCACTGCTGGGCTCAGCTGCTGAATCAGAGCGAGTCTGTCTTGGGGTAGGAGTCCCTCTGAGTGTGGGGAACAAACTCCTCCCACCCCTAGTGCCAAGCACTAATTTGTTCTTCTATTGCAACCTATTCATAACTAGTGATTTATTCATATATAAGCCCCCACAGGGGAAGTAATGCTAAAGTGAATTTCCTGCTAGATTTTGACACTGTGAATCCGGAAATTGTACATAAGACTTATCTTCCTGCTCACTTTCTGGTCCAATAATAATAATAAGAGGCAAAGCAAAGTTTAGTTCTGTTGGGGGGAAGTAACAGCAGAAACAACTTTTCCCACTTACTTCTTGCGTGCAGCGTGCTCAAGGCTCTAAGCTGCCTGGGTATCCTGCTGGGACAAAGTGCTGCTGCTCGACACCGAGAGTCTCGGGAACGAAGTTTGCACCTCGGCCTCGGTTCCTAAGCGGAACGACCGCCAGTTATTCCCCGGAGGTATGTCAGTATGTGAAGTTTGCACCTGAGCCTCGGTGTGGGTGGCCAGAAATGACTTTCTCGACACCGATGCCTGTGATGCCGCCTTCTCTTGCAGCTCAGCGTGCACAGAAGGCGCAGACAGCTTTTTCTCTCCTGAGGTGCACGTCTGGGACGTGGAGCGGGACACCTCACTCTGCTTTCCTTCAGGCACAGAGGACTGTTCCTGCACCTCCGTCTCGGAAGCGTGTGAAGGCACCTCCTCTAGACTGGGAAAGTCCATCCCAGAGGTTTGCACTTGGGCCTCAACCCACAACTCTGAGGAGCGCTGTTTCTTCCCCAGGGGCGTTTCAGCATCAGAAGTTTGCGTCTCGACATCTCTTAGCCTTGGGGGTGAGGGCACGATTTCAATGGGGGCTTCTGTGTCCTGAGCCTCTGGTGCTTCCAGGCAGGAGGAGGACAAAGGAGCCTCACTGGGTGAAGGAGAAGAAAGATTAACCTCTGCCTCCAATGTCAGCAGCAACGATGTCTGCACCTCAATGTCCTTGTACAATGAAAAATCATCTTCCTCTTCGTTGATGGTGAGTGATGAGGTTTGCACCTGCGCCACTGCTAGTGAGAATGTGGGAGGCCTCTTCAGCACTTTCGGGGCGGGAGTTTGCACTTGGGCATCCACGTAGAGCGGTGAGGAGCTGCTCTCCACCACGATTTCCACGCATGCTGCTTGCACCTTGGCGTCAACAAGCAACGGGAATATAGACTCCACTTTCATACCAAGCGATTCAAGATTCTGGTCTTACAAGCGTGTTTATGAGGGAGCTTCATCCTGCTCAAATTTGTTGGATTGTGCTTTTAAGCACACAGTTACTTCTGAGATACCTCCTCTGGCCTCATCATAGCTGAATCCTTGTTTCTGCCCCAGAGGCTTAGCAGCCTAGCTCTATGCAAAACCACAACATTTTGGCCTCTCCTAGCTGGTTATGCTGCAACTCTTCAGCTAGAAGCAGGCAAGCACAAGCAGCTGCTGGGGATCACTTTGAGACCAGATCCAAAAAGATATAAACCAAAAGCATCCCAGTTCTTATCGATACTGCAGGACAAATTAGGGATTTGTAGCATGCAATATGCTTTACATTTAAACCAGAGTTATATCTGCCTTATAAAGTGGCAGAAGATTTCATTAAAACATCATCTAGATAGAGCACAGCTGCAGCAGCAACATGATTGAATCTGCTTATGTGTCCAAACTAACGCAACACATCTAGGGAATGAGGTGGGGGCGTTGTAAAGCCTGGCTTTAAACCAGACCAGCCACAAATAAGAAATGTAGTGGGAGGAAGAAAGTGCCTGGAACAAATTACATAGAAACAAGTAGTTTGTGTCAGCCATGTCTGACGGGAACAGCGGAGGGAAATTCCAGCAGAAACACATCATGATATTGGTGTAACTTGTATAGAGTGACTGGACATG